AACGGCTGCTTAAATAACCGGCATAATGCTGGCTCGCGCGGCTGTAATTGCAGCTGCAGCTGCTGACGCTGTCATCTCTCCCGGAGGTAAGTAACCCCGCCCGGGGCTCTGTCTCGGGGTTGTGTCCGCCCTGCAACCCTTCCTGCCCTTAGTCTGTGCCCATGATGGTGGCACGCCGCCGTCACAATCAGTATTTTTAGGCACAATTGCTTATGTTCCATAGGGCAATCTTTAGATGTGCCCCCTAAGTAGTATAATTGGGCTGAGAATATACATCAAGATTCACACTGTGAGAATCTCCCTGTACATCGTATCTGAGGGTCTAAATTCATTATGCATCTCTGTCAAACTGCTTATCTCCATTTTGGATGTGTAATCTTTTAACTATATTGTCCTAAAAATACCTGGAGATGTTGGTAAAGGGTAGATTATTGTTGGCATAAGTGTTATATTATTGAAATAAAATTGCATCCAGAGTAGTGGTTTCCTTGACAACAATCATCTGACAGGAGGCTATCAGCTGATGAAGGGTGACTGACAAAGCCACCTGATAGAAGACCTAAAATGTTATGAAAAAGTAGGAACCATTTGGTCATTTTTACTTGCTCAAACTGAGGAGGAATTGCCTGCACCATGATCAGGGAAGGATACTCTGCCCTCCTGCTCTCAGGTAGGCTCCCAAAGAAAGAGTAGGTTAGGAAGGACATGTGTTTAGTTCAATTTTCCTATATGCCCTTGTGCTTTAGCTTTAAAGTGAGGATGTAATCACAAAGAATATTAAGAGCTTTTCTGCACGTGGCTTTATGCTAACACTTATTACATTAAATTTATTTTATTTTTCACCCTACACTTCCCACCAATACATCTATCCATAAGTTATTTAAAGCTTTGAGGTGAAATGAGGTGATTTTTTTTTTTTTTTAATACTCATGCATGGTTGACTTGGTATATATCTAGTGCAGTGCAGTTTACAGACTTAAACAGTAAGCCAAAAAGATCACAGTTTAATGGATATTCTGAAAACAGCACATTTTAAGTCATAATGGGAGTAGACAAGACTACACCTTGGGGACAGAGTTAGGTTACAGCTCTTAGGAGCAGGATGAGGTCTGAGGGACCTAAGATTGAAGTTAATCCCTAAATCCTGTGTAGGCTTTAGGGGTGCTTGTACACATGATGAAAACTGCCCATTTTTGTGGTTTAATTGTGTCACAGTGTACACATGCAGGGTTTTTTATGATTTAAATGAGCTTGTTATGTTGCAAACAAAACCACATCTGCATGTAGTTTAGTTTACAACATAGCTATTTGTAACATTGCAGCCTTTTGGCACCTCCCCCCATCCCACCATAGAAGAGGAGGAATGATGCGGTGAGGGGCCCAATCCTGTTTTTATTTTTTTTCTGCAGAGACTGCCCATGTTTCCCACATTCCAGCTTGAGCTGCTGGTGGGCTGAGCAGCCCCTAAGTTGCTGAGGGCCCCATCCTTCCATCTGTGGTGGTGGTGCCCCTGGGGCCACCCGGGTGGGCTGATAGCAGGCCAGATGCTGCCCCAGCTTGGGCTTGGGGAACAGTTGCATTGGTCTGGGGGCTGCCTCCAAGCTGGGGCAGCACCCTCCTTGTGGTCACCAGCCTGTGTGGACCCTGGGAGGCAGAGAAGGAACAGCACCCCTTGCAGCTCAGGGCCCACCAGCTGCTCATCCCCTAGCTGAGAGAGAGTCAGGAAGACTCTGTGGTGGGGGGTGGGAAGGATCAGGCCCCTTGCCACATTTTTTTTTCTTGCCTGCAGAGCCAGCCCACATGAGCTACCACTGGGTCACGCAGCCCCTGAGCTGTGGGGGGCCCCGGTCCTTCCCTCCATGGTGGCAGCACCCCCACCCCCTGGTCACCCAGCTGGGGTGCTAGTGAGCTAGGGGCTTCCCCAGCTCAGAGGCAGTGAGCAACCTGATTCAATCCTTCCCTGAACCCGAGCTGGGGTAGCATCTGGTCCACTAGCAGCCCTCCCAGGCATATCTGGGGGTGCTGCCACTGCAGAGGGAAGGACCATGGCTCTCTATAGCTCAGAGGCTGTTTGGCCTGCTGGCAGCTCACCCCCTGGCTCCAGGAGACATGGGCAGGTTCCATGAAAAAAGTGGGAGGGAATGGGCCCCTTGTTGTAACAGTGACAGAAGCCCCTAAATTGAAATGGTGGGGTTTTTTTAATTATTGCAATTAAAAACACACCATTTCTATTTAGGGGACTAAACCCCTGTCACATGTACAAGTGCCCCAGTGGTGTTTATACACATGCTCTGAAGCCCCTACTCCCCACCTCCCAGAACAACTTCAATGTATGTATATAGGTACCCTAGAGACTTAAAACATCTAGAGATATAACAGCTATGACCTCTGCCAGCAGTCTCCAAATGGCCCAAAGGGGTTACTCAATCAGATGTTAACACATCTTTGTGTACAACAGGGAAATTTGCTACCAGTTGAGAAACTGGGGTAAGGACCATTGAGCATTCCATTATAGACAAGGCTCCTGTGACCAGACCACAGCTATTTATTTATTTCTTTTTATCAGGCATGCTTTTCAACAGATATACCTAAAATGGTGTTAAAATATTTTGGCTTTAGGATCTTTGTCTATGCAACACCTTTTATCAGTGTACATGAACTGGTGAGAATTTTGTGATTTTTATCAAGCTAAGGAAAACCAGAGTTACTTTGTGGTATTTACAGAGCTGTCTATAATCATCACCACACGGATGATATTCACAAAGAGGTGTAAGCTGTTCTTGTGTGATAGTTGTATATGTATCTGAACAGCGGGGAAGATGTAAACAGGTGCTAAATAGCAATTATTAGCATATGTATACCAACTGATGAGGTGTTGAACATCATCTCATGCAGAGGTGTCAAAACCCTGACCAAAGAAATATTTTAACAATACAAAATAACACAATACAAAGAGGAAATAGAACACATAAAGGACTTCAAATATATTTATACTTGATATAAACTTGAGAAACTCTTTAAAGCCATATGAACTTATTTAGATTACCCAAGTACATATTCAGAATCAAGATGATATAATCTACTGTCCCATTATAATTTTTTCTATGTATATAAGGCCAGTAGGATATAATTGATGCTTATAAGGGGGAGGCCTATTATTAGTTCAGTACTTGATTTCACATTTTCTTCTTCTGGTGATATCCTTCCTTCCTACCCCACTTTCAAGGGTCAAACAAGTTCCAAATTCTCTTGGGCAAAGGACAATAGTCAAGTTCTAAGTTTTGACTGAGCAAAGTTCAACTGTTCAAGTCCATGTGGCTCTACCACCAGACAAGTATCCTCCTTCCCAGACTCATCTCTCTGGGCTTTCAGATACCTCCCAAATCTGTGGCAGATGTCCTACATGCAAGCCCAGAACCCAGGGACCCTGGGGTTTGGACGCCCCCTAGTCTTGCTACCTCTTCACTAAAAGGCCAGGGAGCAAGCCAAGGGGAAAGCAAGAAAGGAGACCCCCACTGCCACAAAATCATGTAGTCAAGTTTCCTGCATTTAGGGAAATTGGCAGAGGTCAGTGTACCTGGAGTGCAACAGGCAGGCCTCATTCTGGGAAAAACACTGCGGTGATCATAGTATTTCTCTCACCAGGTGGGAACCTACTACAAGGATAAGTTAGTTCAGCCCACCTCACTATTTGTTCTTTAAATACCACAGTGGCCTGAAGCTTACTATAAGACTTAGTGATCCTAGTTAAACTTATTGTCATTTTTGTTTCTGTTTGTGCCATATAACTTTGCTGCTTCTACTGCTTTTATATGCTTAAGTTATCAGTTATGTTCCTTTAACTAATGTAGTATATTCAATCTACCAGAACATTTCTGCTTTCACTTGCATTCCCCATTTCCTAACCAAATGTGGCTCTGGCCTGTTTCTCTTGAACTGTCATTATATCTTAGTCTCAGTCTCCATTTTAGTGCCTTAATAACTTAAAGATTTAGTCTGGGCATCCAGAGCTTGTTACTTGAGCTGCCACCATTGGTGATAGCACCTACACATTTATTTGTCTGTTCTAACCTTTGTCTTTATTATAGTGAAGTGAAGGAGACCTTACTGATAAAAAATAGAACAACCGGTTGATAAGAATATTTCTCTTCTGTTTTCTGCAGAAAACAGATTTATCATTTCTGATCTATGAAAGGAGCTGGGAAATTGAGTATGGGTAATTTCCTTCTTCAAAACTGTTTTAATACATTTTAAAGCTATGTTAATACAAAATGCTTAATTTCTGTGACACCCCTTTTGTGGATTCCAATTACTGAATACGCTAAAGAAAGCAGACCCCCACTGCCACAAAATTGTGTAGTCAAGTTTCCTGCATTTGGGGAAACTGGCAGGGGTCAGTGTTACCTACACATTCTACACAGGAGCATTCTACAGTGTACATTCTACACAGGAGCTTGTGGCATTCTGTAAAGGCGTGTGAGGGGTATGAACTGTATACAGAAAAGAAATAGATCCTTATATTCTGCCTGTTTAACATTGTACTCCTGAAACCTTCACTGCCATCCTACCACACGGAAAGCTTCTGTCTCAACCAGGAAGCATTTAACAACTTGTATGATTTACCTTTTGACCTTGTAGACAACTGTTGATCCTCTGGATCATGGTGTATACATAAGAGATATAGTTGGATGCCCGATGAATCCATTTGTAGCAGGGTAAATTCCAGAGCAACATAGATCATTACAAGTTTCACAGATCCATATGTCATCTGACTTGGAGTCCAAGATTATAGCAAGCTGCTTTCTTCTTTCTTGCTTTGTTTCCATCCTCTGGATCAAAGCCACTTTATGTTGAGCTACACCCAGTTCCAACTGCTTGTTCCAGATCAAACAGGATGTTGTGCTTGTTGCCCTGTGAGGTCAGGCCAACTCTCAGAATCTCAATATTGCACTGTTAGGAGGGTGTGACACAATTACACATATAAAAATATACAAATCAATTAGGTGCATACACACACATACACACACTACCAGCTCAGGCACATACACATCCAAACCAGCCTAGGCACATGCATACCTATCACCAATTCAAGCACATACAGTATACACCCCAAAAGTTAGACACAGATCACTAATTCATATATCATGCACACAATGCCATATATATATATATATATATATACATATATATATATATATATATACACACACACACACACACACTCACCAGTTCACACACATACAATCCACCTACACATACACACAGGTAAGTTCCTAACTTGGATGATACTGTATGTATGTGTGTGCTTGGGGTACCTGGGATACTTGGGGGAAGGTTCAGGTGAGAGAGAGTGTTAAAGTGTAGGGAGTGAAAGTTGCCAGAACTGAGATTAGAAATGGTGGACAAGAGAGGAGATGGCTGAGGAACTAAGGCTTGAGTTTATTTAAGGTAGACTGGGGCTGGAAACTGAAGCAGAGAGCTGAGATATTGGGTGGGGGGCAGATAAGTGGTGGCAAGGAGGAGACAGTTAGGAAAGAAACTGAGGCAGAAACCTGGTTGCTCAGGAAAAAAAGGAAAAGGCAGTGGGGATAAAAGAGTGGCAAAGAAACAGGGGGTTGGAGGCAGAGAGGAGCTCAGGACAGGTGTTGGAGGTGGCAGTGAGCCAGAAGCAGGAG